TATATCAAATAAATAGTCAGGTTGCATGGCACTCCAGTTTCTATCATTTCGGATCGAGGAGCACAGTTCACAGCTAACTTTTGGAAGAAATTTCAGCAAAGTTTGGGGTACACAGTTGAATCTTAGTACAACCTTTCATCCATAGACTAACGGGTAGGCAGAGCGGACTATTCAGACGCGTAAGGATATGTTGCGTGCTTGCATTCTTGACTTCAAAGGTAGCTGGGATGATCATTTTCCACTCATAGAGTTTGCTTATAACAACAGCTACCATGCTAGTATTCAGATGGCACCAATTGAGGCATTATATGGTGGGAGATGTAGATCTCCTATTGGGTGGTTCAAAGTTGAGGAAGCTAAATTGATAGGACCAGACCTCATGCATCAAGCTATGGAGAAGGTTAAGATTATTAAGGAGCTATTGAAAACTGCTCAGAGCCATCAAAAGTCCTATTCGGATGTTCGTCGAAGAGATTTGGAATTCAAGGAAGATGATTGGGTATTCTTGAAGGTTTCTCCCTTGAAGGGTATCATGCATTTTGGAAAGACAGGGCAGTTAAGTCCGAGGTATGTTGGGCCGTACAGAATCATTCAAAGGATTGGTCAGGTGGCGTACAAGCTTGAGCTACCACCTGAGATGCCATTAGTGCACCCGATATTCCATGTGTCCATGTTGAAGAAGGTAGTTGGAGATCCGTCCGCTATTGTGCCGGTTGAGACTATTGAGGTTAATGAAGATTTTTCATATGAATATATTTATTTTGCCATTCTTGATAGGCAAGTCCGAAAGTTAAGAAATAAAGAAATTGCCCCCGTGAAAGTGTTATGGCAAAACTAGCAGGTTGAAGAGTCCATATTGGAGGCCGAGGAAGAAATGAAGAAGAAGTACCCTCACTTGTTTGGATATCTATGTAATTAAGTATTTATGTCCTATGAAGATGTTGAGATCTTACCTTCTATGAATTTTGTATCACCTAGATAATTGATATTAATAGTGTTCCTTTTCTAGTAATGTATTGCTTATGAGGCCACGATTGGTATTGTTTCATATTATGTTGCATATTTGGATTATGTATAAGTTGTCAGGATTGGTTTCAAGGATTCTCTGACAGGTGTATAGGCCCCGTTACAAAGGAAACTCTGGCGAATATTTTGCAAATTTAGGGAGTTAGTCTAATTTGGGACTACTGGTTTGTGGTATGGAAGTTGAGTAGCATTAGATGTTAATAGTGAACTTTGACCCTCATTCGAGGACGAATGATCTTAAGTGGGGGAGGATGTGAGGCCCCTCAAAAAAAATCCCTATTAGTCCGAGACCACAAGCACACTCACAAGTCGTTTTAGTGTCATCTTGCCTTCCACGAGGGGTTAAGGACTATAAGAACATATATGATCATGATAATACGTGTAGGAGTTGTATTGGATACTGTTAAGGTCCTTAAGGAGATCCCTAGGACTAAGCCATGTTGGGAACTATGCAATGGGCTAAAGTTTCAGGAAAAATTTGCGCAAGGTCCGACTTCAAACGCATACTTCTACCAAAATATAAAGACTTAAGAGGTGATCTACCTATCAAATTAAAGCCCTTTGAGTTTACTTTCCAAAATGTCAAACTGTTCTTCATTTAGATATGTATAGAGTAAGATATGGCATTTTTACTGAACCTATGTCATATGCGCGCCCAGGTGCGTGGCGGCGCATATTAGAGAGTTTCTGCCTTGTGTGTGTGGCCAGATGCGTAGCCACTTGCCCAGGTGCGCAGCCGCGCACGTAAGAGACATATAAATATCCCCAAGGCCGGGTAGGGAGAGTGTCTAATCATTTCTTTGAGCTAGGGCTTGCTCTATCAAGGGGAATCCGTCCCATGCTTCCCTCCCATGAACCAAAAGTAATGTTTTTGGAGTATTATGAGATGATTATTACTCCTAAACACTTATATTAACAACTATTAGTCTTGAAGTCCATAGATTCCATTCAAATCCCTAAATTGGTCAAGAACACTACAAGTGAGGATTCTCTAGAGTCTTACTACAAGAGGTATGTCTACCATCTCTAACTAGTCTATGATGATTATTTATGAATGAAATGTATGTTAGGAATTATGGGATGGTGATTAGAAGCCATAAGTGTCTAACCTAGGTTATGTGGGTGTTGTAGAGATTGTGAAATGGGTTAATTAAGGATATTGATTGTTTGGGTGTGAATTGTTGGGCATGCATGTGCTAATGGAAGTTGTGGATGGCCTAGAGACGATGGTAAGGTGAATCTTTGGTATGGAAGGTGGTTGTTAGGTGAAGAAATTCCATTGAAGGAGGTTGTAGAAAGATATGCACATTAGATGTTTGATAAAAAGTCTAATTGACTTAAAGTATAAAAATCTTACTAATATTGTTACAAATGTGTTGCATTGTTGCAGATTGAAGTTGTTTAGTGTGGTGGACGCCGGAGTATTATTAAGGGGAAAATTTCAGGTATGTATGGCTAAAACCCCTTCTTCTTAGAATCGAATTCCCGGTGTTCATATAGTTGGTGTAAGCCCCCTATTTGATCATACTAGAATTGGTTATTCCCAATGTGTTGTGTTAAATAGCATATGTTTAATATTTGTTCTAAATGCTTATCATGTCATCTTACCCCCTTGAGGATGTGTTTAAATATGTGGAATATGTGTTGAGAAAGGCTAAGGTTTCATGTCAAAAATTGAATAAAGGTTGTTATGCCAATTTGTATGAAAAGCCCCTATGTGCACAAATGCCTTACATGATAGGTCTTATTGTTGCTGATGTTAATGTTATTTGAAAGTGTAAAAAGGGAAACTTAAATTTTTAAATACGGCCAAGTGCCAAGAGTGACTTAATAAATGAGGTCACTCGTGCCTGTGTATTGAAAGATGGGAAAGAAATATGAAGTGAGATGATTGATTGAAAGGTTGATGTCTCAAGTGAGATGGCCTAGCCGATCGGGCCATGATCGGATGCCATGCCGCACACATGGTGGTAACTGTGCTAGAAATGATAACTGAAATTGTGGATATGGTTGATGTCTCAAATGAGATGACCTAGCCGATCGGGTTGAGATCGGACTCCGTGTAAGAACACGGTGGTATTTTGGATTGCGGCATATTGGTACTAAAGGTTCTTAACCTAATAATAGGGAAATTGACTTGAGAACTTACGTGACCCTTATTTGATGTTTTACCATTGTTTGAAGCTCTTATTGAACTGATGATTATTTCCTCCTTGTATTACTGTTCATTTTTTTAAGATGGTATTTTAGCTTTACATACTAGTACTATTCGACGGTACTAACGTCCCCTTTTGCTAGAGGGGGGGGGGGCGCTACATCTTTAAATGGATGTAGGTGGTTCCATAACAGACAGGGTTGATCGTAGCTAGTGGTGGATCCTCTTCCCAATAGACTCGGTGAGCCCCATTCATCCTAGAGTCATGTCATGTACGGTATCTTTTGTTCATACTTTTACCACGTTTTGAGGTATAGTCGGGGACTTGTTTTCGGCATTATCATAAATCTCTTTTGTAACTTTAGAGGCTCTGTAGACATTATGTGGGTTATGTATGGTTGTTAGATAGTTCAGACGGATTATGTTGTGTTTTGGACTCTTGTTCCATTTAACTGTAATGTTTATGCATTTTGGGACTTGTCAATGATGTAGTAAAAATTAAAATGAATTAGTAATGTATATATATATATATATATATATATATAGGATATTTTCACTGTTTAACTAATGGAAATGCGCCTTCTCTTGATCGTAAGTGAGCTGGGTAGAAAGTGTCTAACAGGATTGCTCAGTTGGGTTCACTCGGTTGAGCGCCGGTCGCGCTCCCCGAGGTTGGGGCGTGAAAACTAGCATAACCTTCGTGGAGTCGCTCGTGGTGGAGGTAGGGGTAGAATGGTCACATTGTCATGAGGTACCTGTCCTCTCCGATTGGCTTGTGGCTCATGACGTACCTCTATACTTGCTCATCATCCGCATCCAAATCCCCCAAAGGCAAATTTTTGAGCTCATTTTTCCCGATTGTTGTACCTAAGATTTCTCACACAAGTTAGTAACACGGAAGGAAAAGAAGATATTCGAAAAACAAACCCAAATATATAGCTAACATCATTTTAACTCCCCGACAATGCCGCCAAAATTGATCCACGTCCAATCTGCACTCAATAGTGAGTGGAAACGGTCGTTGGAAGAATATTACCCAACAAGAGTCGGGGTCGATTACCACAGGGAGTTACTATGGGGTTTAGGAGTATACACTTGACAAAAGCGAATGGAATAACTTAATTGCACTTCCAACAACGGGTTTTGATTTCTATTTTTTTTTATAAAACTAACTTTTCGTTTCATCTAAAACTGTCTTTACAAAGCCAGATTAGTGCTGACCATCAATCTCTTAATCAGTATTACAAGAATTAAACTAGAAAACACTATCATCAAAGACTAACTACTTCTAAGGATAGTTATATAAATTTTGCAATGTTTGCTGCCATTTGATTTTTGATCTCCCTTGCATGTTCATGTGTATATTAATCTCTTTGCATATCTCATCCACCATGTATCTACCTTTGTTGAATCTGATGGAATTTCTTTCGCGCCAAATACAGTACACGACCATCGCAAAAGCTGTTGTGGTAATGTCTGCCTTGCAATTCTTCCTTTTAGCTATACTGTTGATCCTCACTATTTCATCTTGCCAGCATCCAATTTTCCTTGTAACTCCTAGCCACCTCAATATTCTGTCCCATAATATACTTGTGTTTGGACAGTCAAAGAAAAGGTGATCAAATATTTCCACATTTCTTGCACAGAACACACAATCCTGTGGCACTTGGATTCCAAACTTGATTAGCCTGTCCATAGTTGCTAACCTTTGATGAATAGCCAACCATAGGTGAAATTTGAATCTTGGATGAATCTGTGTGTGTAGATGAATTCTCTTCCAACTAACTTTTGGAAACTGAGGCAACAGATGGATATAAGCTCATTGGATTTGAAATCTGTGTTGTTTCACCATGTCTGCCAAAGATGAATTGAGACTGACTTGCAAAGGGTTCACCTGCACCAAGTCTCTCTTTGTCTCTATGATCTTTCTGACCACCCAAGCTGATGTCTTAGTTGTGTCCGTTGCTGCAATATCCTTGTTTTTTATGTAATAATTGTGAGTCCATTTGATCCATAAAGCATCTTTCTTCATTGCCAGTGCCCATAAGTGTTTCAGAATTGCTGCTTTATTCCATATCCTCATATTGATGATGTTCAATCCCCCTGCTACTTTTGGTTGACAAATCTTATTCCATGCTATCAATGCATTCCCTGAAATGGAATTTGATCCAGTCCAAAGAAAAGTCCTGCATATGGTCTCTATCATCTTCATAATCTTCTTAGGCAATAGGAAAATTTGAGCCCAGTATGTCTGTATGCCAAATAACACAGATTTTATGAGTTGTACCCTTCCAGAATAGGATAACATCCTAGCTGACCAGCAGTTCACCCTTTCAGTGATCCTTTCCACCAGAGGTAGGCATTGATGTATGTTCAGTTTCTTAGTAGAAAGTGGAACTCCCAGATACTTAAACGGGATAGACCCCTTTGTATATCCTGTGAGTTCAAGTAATAGCTCTTTGATATGTTGTTGAACACTAGCAATATACATTGAGCTCTTCTCTGCATTTTCCTGAAGTCCAGATGCAGCAGAGAACCTATCAAAGGTTTCCTACATTTTTGTTACTAAGGTTATGTCTGCCCTGCAAAACATTAACAAATCATCAGCAAAACAAATATGAGTCACCCCCAGTTTTTTGCATCTTGGGTGGTATCTGAACTCCTTTAAGGTTGACAGTTGGTTCATCTCTCTTTGTAAGTACTCCATTGCAATAAAAAATAGATAGGGAGACATTGGGTCCCCTTGTCGAATCCCTCTCTTAGCTTGAAAAGGTTTGGTAAGGCCACCATTGACTACCAAAGAGTATGATATTATTGACACACATTCCATTACCTAATGGATGAACTTCTGTGGAAAACCAAGGTCAATAAGCATACACCTAAGAAATTGCAAATCCAATGAGTCATAAGCCTTTTTAATGTCAACCTTAAGCACACACCTAGGAGATAGACCTTTCCTATTATAGCCTTTGAAAATTAAATAGGATATTGTCAATAATGCTCCTTTATTCAACAAAAGCAGATTGAGACTTCCCAATGATCACCTCAATTACTCTTTTAATTCTTCTAGTCAGAATCTTCGCAACAATTTTATACAGAGTAGTGCAGCAAGCAATAGGCCTATAGTCTTATACTTTTGTAGGTGTTGGGACTTTAGGTATCAAGGTAATGGCTGTGCAGTTCCATGCTGGCTTCATTTTACCTGTATGAAAGAAGTATGAAATAGCCTCATAAATGTCCTACCTCACTGTCATCCAATGCTTGGTAAGGAATTCTATAGGGTAACCATCAACTCCAGGAGCTTTGTCCTTAGCCATATCCCTCACTTCTTCATCCACCTCATCATGTGTTATCTCATTTATTAGTTCCTGCTAATGTTGTAGTGTTAGACATTCTCCTGCTTTACTGATTCTAGTATTTGGACATGGCATTAACCCATTGGCTTTCCCCATTAGCTGAATGAAAAAGTTAGTAAACTCTTTTTCCACAGCTTTTGGATTAGTGATCTTCACTCCCATATCATCATACACAGTGGTGATAGTATTCTTGCTGGCCCTAATTTTCAATTATGCATAGAAGTACTTGGAGTTTGAATCACCATAACCAATCCATGTTGCTCTAGATTTCTGCCTCAATATCCTTTCCTCTATAGTACTCCATTTTTCCAATTCTTGCATAGTCTGCTTTTCCTGTTCTATCAGCATCTGATTGAAAGGGTCAAGAACCAGGTTAGCTTGAGTGCATTCCAATCTCTGCCTTATTTGAGTCAACCTTTGCTCATATCTTGCCATCTCCTTATTCAGTCCTTTAGCCTCATCTTTTAGATTGTGCAGCTTCTGCCAAATAGTAGTCATAGGGTCCTGATCATTCTGATGTTGCCATATTCTGCCCACCATAGGCCTAAATTCCTTATGCTCCATTGTTACCATATATAGCTTGAATGGCTTGGGATGAATAGTTTTCCTTTTCCATATTTGAACTATGATTGGAGAGTGGTCAGACACTCCAGGTTCTAGAAAATCTACTTCCAAATGCCCATAGTTTTTAGTACAGTTGAAATTGCCAAAAGCCCAGTCAATCTTACTGTATACTCTATCATTTGCATTCTGCTTGTTACACCATGTAAAGAAACATCCCTTTGTTCTTAATAGGGTCAACGGCAAATTGTCAATACATTGCTTGAAATCCTGCACCTCACTTGCTGTCACTGGTTGTCCTAACCTATCAGTTGTGGCTAAGACATTGTTGAAATCTCCACTTATGAGCCAAGGAACTTGAATCTACCCCCCCCCCCCTACCTACTGCAAGTCTTGCCATAGTATTACCCTTTCCTGCACCTTGTTCCTAGCATAGACCACTGTCAACATAATCTGGGAACTAGTTAGTGGATCTTCTACTGAGCAATGAATGAATTGCTCATGAATGTGAACTATCTTTACTATAAAGTTTGTCTTCCATATCACCCTATTTACATCCTTAGAATAGTTACAGCGACATCCCCAACCCTTGTCTACCTTATTTAGTATATTTGTTGCCTTCTTTTCTTTAACTCTAGTTTCTAGACACCCAAGAATGTCTACTTTATTCTTTTGCAGAAAGATTCTTAACTCTTTCTGTTTATAGGGCTTATTCAGCCCCCTTATATTACAAGTGCTTATGATCATGGTGGCTGTTGGATAGGTGCAGTAATCATTCTATCTCCCTGTGCAGAACTCTGCCCATATTCTCCCAGTATTGTAACCCTGTTAGTAGTACTAGCTTCTACAGGTTTAGTCTGTTGCATTACAACTGGACTGTTCTGTATCCTGCTTTCTTTATTCCTACTTATCATCTGCATCCTTTGAGTAGAGCCATTCTCAGATGTTGTGTTCTTATCACCCTTTTCTGTATCAGTTTGGGATTGCTCTACACCATCTCCCTCAACTACCTCTCCTTGTTCTTGTTGTTCCTTTGGTTTCCACTCCTGTACTACTCTCTTCCTTCTACCACTATTTCTTCTTTTGGGAGCCTTAAACTCAGCATCTTCATGTTCTAGTGATTTGTCCTCCAGCATTCAAAGTTATCATGGCCAAAGTGTACACATTCACTACAGAATTTTGGCCTCCACTCATACAGTATTTCCTGTTGCCTAGTCCCAGTAAGAGTTACAATCTCTGTATTCTCCACCAAAGGATAGTGATGTCAACCTTCACCAGAACTCTTGCATATAAAATTTTGTTCAAATCTGCTGTGAATTTGTTAGTGTACATTGGTAGTCCTATAGCACTATCCATCTTACTCGGTGCATCAGCAGTCCAGTATCCAACAGGTAAGCTAGGAAAGTGAATCCACAAAGGGATTGTAGTTATACACTTAGGGTCAAAGTGTAAGTCCCTTTCCCAATTCTGCAAAAAATAAATGGTTTGTTATGATACAAGTAAGGACCTGCTTGCATGACTAGATCCCTTTCCTCAATTGTTGAAAATCGAAACACATAATACTCATCATTCTGATATAGAATTTGGGGTTTAGAAACAAAATCCCACATAGATTCTACATAGATTTCCATAGACTTCTCATACGGAGCATCACCAAGGACATATCCAATTAAGGCAGTCGCCAGTGGTCGTTCAGCTCACTTACATCTTCCTCAGCAATTTGAATCACTATCTTACCATCTCGATGACTTGGTGGAACATATTCAAGTCGCATTCCCATCTGAGAATTGCGATTCTGCTACTTGAGCTCCTTTGCATGAAGATCCTACTCCTTTCTAGTCCCTGCTGTTGCTGCATGCTGTTCTAGATCAGGAGATGGTTGTGCTAAAGATCCAGCTTTAGAGAATTGTAGTCTTCTCGGAATTGTTGGCAATTGGTCCTTGCACTTTTGAATTTCCTTCTCCTTGACTGCATTTGTATTGTTCCATTGCTTACTGTTACATTCATCATCATAACTTAGCTCATTTTCCTCTCGAATTGGTTGGAATCGAGTGGGAAGAAAGCTTCCAAATGTTAATGGAGTGAATGCATGCATCCCTGAGGTCACCGGCGTAATAGTAGCGGTCGCCGTTGCTGGTTGTTTGCGTCTTCTAGCCATCGACAGTGCACGTTAGCCTCCCTTGGCTTATCGTGCGCCGAGAGCATTTAGAGCCTCAATTAGTTTGTAAATTTTCTGCTCGGTTTTGATTTCTCATTCTAATTTTACTTTAGCAATTATAATCTAAGAAAAGAAACTAGAAGCGAATGATTATTTTTGGTATTTTTCCAAATAATTAAAAAGCCTAGGGATGTGACCATAACCTAGGTGTTCACCTAATGGGTTAAATACGTTAACACTTGTTATAGCTCTCAACTCTACGTTACCCACTTAAACCTCTCGTTCAAAGAGTGATTTTACCTAATTATCTTTCTCAAGCCCAAATGGGTATCAAACTAAATAGTTGATATGAGCTCAAGTCGGGTTCTCACTTTCTCTAGTTTGAACCCTTTAATTAAGCTAATCAAACCCTCAATTACCCAATTCCTTGTTAGCCAAGTTATCCTAAACTAGGTCCCTCTTTCTCAAGTAGAGAACAAGTCAAAAAGGCATGAATCAATGTTTGCAACCATTAATTCTAAAATTGAAGTATAAACTAAGTTAAATAATCAACACCCAATCATAAAAAGCATTAAATTAAATACCCATAAGGTTTACATACTAGAGTTGGGTCACAACCCTAGTAAGAATCTAGCTACTCATAGTGAGAAATGAAGAAAATAAAGAAGAAATGCTAATTAAACTTATAATCTAAGATTAAAATGATAAAATATGATGTTTGAGACCTAAAATAATCACAAACTTCCTAAGATGGAAAAATATAACAGTTACAGCAGCTCAAACTTCGAAACTTGACCTAAAAATGTGAATCTCGTCTATTTATAATGGCCCAAAATTCTCTAACAAAAATGCCCCTCAGGAGGTTCTGCGGCTGCACAATTCCATGTGCGGTCTATAAATTGCTTTAGCTGGCAGGGTCTTGAATTCTGCAGCCGCACAATTCGGGATTCTAGCTGCAAAGCATCTCTGTTTAGTCTAGAATTGCAGTTGTGCTTCCAATATCATCGTTGCCGACTCAACAATACACTAAGGTAGGAAGAGCGGCTTGCAACAGCTTTTACCCGAATAGTAGTTCGGGATCGAATTTTCACAGGGAGCTAGTAATAGAGTTGTATTGTCTGTTTAGTCTAGAATTGCAGTTGTGCTTCCAATATCACTTCTAACATCTTTGGTTTTGATTTTTATATCTACTATTATAAGACTAATGTTTAAAGCTAAATTAGGCTACGGAGATATTGCCAATTTGTAATTAATATAGAGAAAGGCACTACGGTCGTGGCATTACCTAGGTGGCTAACTAACGGGTAGATGCTACTAAGGATAAATTGACATATTTGGGGCTTATGCTATAACCGTTGCTCAATTGTACCCACTCTCACACCTCTCAGTAGAGAGAGTGATTATGCCCAATTGACTCTCTCGAGACCAATTGGGTAGGCTAATTAGACCAAGCAACTAGGGTTCAAGTAGGGTGATTACTCTCTCGAGATTTAACCCGTTAATTGGGACTACCATTTCTCATGGGTCCATCCCAATTCCTTGTTGGGTCAATTTTGGGGTCATGGACTCTCTTTCTCAAGAAGAGTTAAACCCACAAAGCTAGAATCAGTGTTTGCAACCACCAATCCTTAATTAAAACCTAAAATTAACCCAAATAGCAAACACCCAATATCAATTTATCCTTAGATGGCAACACCCATCAATTACCCACACTAGGGTTGAGCCACAACCCTAGCTAATGGGTTTAGCTAGACATAATTAAAGAAGAAACAGAAGAATTAGAAGAAAAACTAAACGTAATAATTAATTACTGATAAGAATCGACAAGAATCTATTGAGAAATTAATGCTAAAATGCCAAAATAGGCTAAAACTTGAGATCTCACGAGCGCAGCTTGATATCTGATACAAAACTTAACCTAAAAATGGAAAAAGGATCTATTTAAAATGGCTGGAAAAACTGGAAAAAAATACCCCTGCGGGGTCAGCGCGGGCCGCGCAAAAAGGTAGCGCGGCCGCGTTGGCTCTTGAACTCTTGAAATTTAACTCTCTGAAGTTGAGGGACGCAGACCGCACGAAAGTGTAGCGCGGCCGCGGGAGCTCTGGCGCGGACCGCGTAAGTGTGACCGCGGCCGCGTGGCTTGCTCTGGTCCTAACTGGCATCTCTGTGAATCTCTTCACGCGGGCCGCATAAATCCGACCGTGGCCGCGTTGTGAGAGCCCTGAATATGCACTTCTCTAAA